GCCGGCGCCACCGTGTAATGCATTGCGTGTCATGGCCGCTCATGGCTCGGCGGTCCGCGGGGTTTGATGTGACAACACGGCGGCTAGTTATTAAACTGGAAACATACGATTGCCTGGTTATTTTTTTTTCTTTTCTTGTTGCGGCGTTTTTTTAGTTGTTGTTTTTCATATTAGAACTTTCCAACAAGTGGTTGTTGTTGTTTTTTTGTATTATTTCATCAGCTGATGCACTGTGTGCTACACTTGTTAAAAAATAGTTGTCACCTGATGATATTCGTTGTGGTGATTGCCTTTGTTTTAAAACAACACTATTATTTTAATCAGAGCTTAAGAAATGTCGTAGTAATTGTACTTTTTGTCGAACGATGCATCTTATTTCCACTTCTGTCATCAGATTACATTTCCTGTGTTGTCTACTTTCATTGCGACACCTGTCGTTCTATAACAAGTCAATTTTTTTCCTCGCTAAATTTCTGTTTACGAGAAATAAACAACCACAAATTATTCATTTAGAGCACTTAACGCCAAAGTTTAACTGTTGAATTGCAACTCAGTTTTTTTAAAACATCAGCAATACGCGTTCTCAGAAAAAACACAAGAAAATGCGCTGTTGTTTTTTCAAAACCATTTATCTTTTGCTCCGAATTTGAATTACCAATGGGAGGCAATTAACATGTTGCTGGGTGTCGTTGTGGATTTAACATTGTGTCCCTGCTTCCGGAGCTATTGAGGTAGGGACAAGGCCTGTGCAGAAACAGGAGGTGGGAGAGAGAGAGAGAGAGAGGGGGGGGGGGTGGTATTTCCTTCCGCACTAAAGGCCCCTGACACGCCGCCTCAGCCACCGCCGCCTTCCAAGAGATCACAAGCGGCCGCTACCGTTGATGGATGAAGTTCCACAGAATTCGAATTTCCGCGCGCGGCCAGGCTGGCAAGGCGTGTCGGGGGCGGGGAGAGCGGCGCTTGTCGGCTCCGCTGCTCGGCTCGGATAAACAGACGCACACGCGGCCCCTAACGAGGCGGTGGCCCCGCGGCCCCCGCCCCGCCCGCCGCATTGTCGGGGTTATATCGCCCGACTGTGAGGGGCCTTTTGTTCCAACCTCCCTTCCCCCGCCCCTCCGCATTTCCCCGGGAACTCTTGTGTCGTCGTGGCGGAAGGAAAAGGGCACACGGCGCGGACCTGAGACGGGGTAAGTGACAGACTTAACCTCCTCTGCCCCCCCCCCCTCTCCCCTCTCCCCCATACACCTTCCGACAGGCCCTACGCTACGCAAACAGACTCGAGTCGGCCGAGACTCCGTGATGCCTTATTATGAGGAATCTCGCCCGTAGTGAAGATCTTACACGACGTGCCGCCGTGTTTTGCGTCTCTTCTTCTTATTGGAAGTCGGTAGGAAGGCATTAGTTGTTAGTTGTATTAAAGACAAAAGGCGCAAGCTGAGCCCGGTCGGGCTTCAAGGCCGTGGAGGTGGAGTGTGCTGCGTTCCGCACAGTTCCGCATGTCACGGCGACGTGATCAAGTTATCTGCCCGGGTTTTCTGCTCCCGTCAAAGCAGTGCTGTACTTGGCGTCCCTGTTCGTGTGTGTCTGGGGAGAGAGATAAGGAGAGAGAGAGAACGAGGGAGAGAGAGAGAGAGAGAGAGAGAGAGAGAGAGAGAGAGAGAGAGAAAGAGGTGTAGAGGAGGTTGCATCCCTTATGTGTTTGAAGGATACATCAAATTTTCTGACGGTGTCCAGAGAGACCGTAGATGGTATATGGCGTAACGCCGTCTGACATCTGCCGGACCGTATTCTATCCCGCTGGAATTTTCATCAGGATTGTACGCCTGGTGACCAGAACCCCTCCGCCCTCCCGACTGCGGCTGCGGGCAGCAGAGAGCGGCCGCGCGAGTTTGAGGGGGGGGGGCGAGGGCTGTAATGTGAAATGGCATTGCAGGCTGCTGAAATTGACCATAGCCCCCCCCCCCTTCCCATCTTCTCTACTCCCCTCTTTTCCCCGTATTTTCCTGCTGAACCTGAAATGTGTGATGTGACGTGACGCTGAACAGTCAGCACCTCTCCTTGCCGTTCGTTACGCCCGCGGCGTGTGCCTGCCCCCCCCCCCTGCTCCTGCTCCCCTACTTCCCCGTCCCATTTCCCCTTCCCTCTCAACCCCCTCCCTCCCCCTCCCGTCTTCCCCTCCACCCGCATTATTTCCCCACCGCAGATGGCGAGGTCGTCACGGCCGTCACGCCCGACTCCTTCCGCGCCGCTGCAGCTGTCACGCTGATCCTGCACGCGGCTCGCCGCGGTCACGGGCCTACCGTCAGCCACAACCCAGCTCATCTGCAGTCACGCTGAGCAGTAACATGCGTTCACCTCTTCATTATTTCCTTTTATGCGTTGTTTCATTTTTTTGTCTATTTTTTTTCTTTCTTTTTGTAGGTGTGTATGTTGTTATTTTGTTCCTTTTCGGGTTTGTCTGTGTTTTCCAGTGCCGACGACATGGCATTCCAGTCATATCCCACATGCACCTGAAAGCAGCCGGTCGCTCGCTGCTCTGCAGCTGCTGTGCGAATGTGACGAGATTAGTCGGGCGTGCCGCGTGCGATAGAGTGTGGCACAACCACGGGCACAACCACGGGTGGAACAAGCGCGCACACGCACGCACACACGCACGCTGATGTGATAGCGCGACCCCCGCGACGCGCAGCGCTGCCGCTGGCAATATCTCATTTTTATCGAGGGGGGATAGAGTTTTGTTGTCGGTGCCGCGCAAACGCACATGTCTCCCGGATGTTACTGTGTGCTTCCCCCCC